ATATATGTTTATGCAGAAAGTCTCATGTTAATCAGCTGTCAGTTAGATGTTCCCTGTAAGTAAGCTACAACAATGGAAAGTCTCTAAGAGTATATAGTATTGGTACCATGGCCAGTGTTCCCAAACCATATGATTTACCTTTCAATGTTCTGAAGTCTAACAGGAACTTTTGGTATTACTCACATCAGAACTATCTTTACACACGGATCTTTGTCACATTGGTAAATATAGATAATTATTGCATCCTGTGAGTACTAGTGGTGAGAGTGTAACCAAAACAAAACAAAACTCATTGCCATCAAGTAGATTCCAACTCATAGTGGCCCACATTGAGTTTCTAAAGTGGTAAATCTTTATGGAAGTAGATTGCCCAGTCTTGCTTCCATGGAGTGGCTGGAGGGTATGAAGCACCAACCTTCTGGTTAGCAGTAAGATGCCTTAGGCACTGTACACCAGAGCTCCCTGGGGAGATGGTAGATTGGAATATTTTATCTAAAGTGAAAACAAGGGAAATTATGGAAATGAGAGTGCTAGTCAACCACATCATCAGAGAAAGAATAGTCTAGGCATTGAAGACAGCAAGTGCAAAGTCCCTGAGGCAAAAGTGTGATTAGTTCTTAGAAAAAACATAAAGGTGATCACTGGAGCTCAACGGGAGTAGAAGAGAATAGTAGAGAGGTCAGGAAGGTCAAGATATGTGTGGGCAGATTATAAATACAGTTTCTTAATATAAAAACGTTGGCTTTTATTCTGATTTGGGAAGCCACTTGCGTATTTTGAGTAAATCAGTGATATGACCTGAGGTATATATATATACATTTAATCATAAAATATTTAAAACAAAAACAAAGACTATCACTATGAACCCCCATGTGCCCATGACCTAGCTTTGAAAACTATCAACTAATGGTTAATCTTCTTTCTTTCTTTATTTTTTAAATTGTTTTACCTATTTCAAACCTGTGTTTTAATTAAAACAGACCTGAGTTATGTTTTAAAGACCACTGTGTTGTGTTGAGATGTTGTGTTGAGAAGAAGCTGTACAGACAACAAAGGAAGAAGGTAAGCTAGTTAGAAGGAAGGCTAACAGGTAAGAGATGGATGCCCTGGGTTAAGGTAGAGGTGTTTCTATTGATATAAATGCAATGCCATCAGGTGAAATAAATCAAGTCGTGGATATTATTGGAAAAAATATGGAATCTGGAACTATTTGTGATTTATTTTCTGTATCTAATATTGAGTCAAATTATAGATCAGAATGATGTGTGACTTTAGTATATATATAAATAAATAAAGTGACAGAATTTGAATAGATACTTTACTAAATATGAATCATAAGAAGAGAAGAAATTACTTGCTAGACACATTTTTTTTTTTTTTATCATCAAGTGAATTGAAGGAAAAGATATCCTGTTCTGCTATCATTTAATATATATGACATTCTCATGAGATAAACTGCAGGGTTTCTCATCACTGAGCAGGACTTAACACAAGATGCTATCATTTTGGATCTACTGTTCTGACAAATATAATCTTCCAATGCCCAGCTTAAGCTCTTGAAAACATTTCCTTCAGATTGAAAATATGCACTAATTCCTTTAGATGATAAAAATCTATCCTCTAAAATAGACAAACTTTGCTAATTCTTATATTTTAATTCAATTTAGCAAATATTAAGAACCTGATTATATGAATTAATGTATTACAGAGTTGAAGAGTAAAATGTAGACTATGACTTCATGAAGTGTAATGTCTTTTAGTATGAGACTAAAGCAACATTACAATAGAAAGCAATATTGAATTTAAGAGTTTTTTACAGAGTATTGACATACTTATGTACACTTTTGTAAAAAACTTAATTAATGGTGAAAAGTATGTTGTTGTTATTATTATATGCCGTCGAGGTGGACCTGACTCATAGTGACCCCTCCATGGGTTTCTGAGGCAGTATCACTACAGAAGTAGATTGCCAGTATAGCCCCTTAAATTTTTTTTAAAATACTCAAATCATATCCTATTTTCAGGAGTGAGTGAATGTGTATATTTATATAACAAGATAAATAAACTAGTTTTAATTAGTTTAAAAAGACAGACATATATTAGTTCAAACAAAACATACACAATGCAAAATGCAATGTATGTTTCCCAGACATTTACTTCTTTAGGATCACTGTGTTGATAATCACAATTCCCATATATTTACACTCCAATATTTGTCAGCATTCCAATATTTGTTGTATTCATCAATTGAATCTTCAAAATAATCTATTGGATTATGAATTATCTAGTTTTAAAGATAAAAATCAAGGCTTAACCAGCCTCATATCATAGAGTCAGTAGGAGAATTTAAACCCAGATCTGTACTTCTCTCTAAATTATCTGTAGATAAGCTCTTTAACCAACATGAAATATACTTAATTGGACAATCATTGCTTCTGTGACATTTCTGGTTCAGAAGGATTTATTGGTATACAGTACAGCAAATTCCCTGTTGAAATTGCTATTTCTATGACCAACCAATAGAGAAAGACATTGAAAAGCAGTAGAATTATTTTAGCCAGGGTACTCTTAATGAATGCATTATATGCTCTTATGTTTCTTTATTTCTCACCTAAGTTACTGACTGTTATCTATTTAGTAATTTATTCCAGTGATCAACATCTATTCTGTTAATCTAGTTTGCAATATCTTCTGTTTTCCTTCACTGGAACATCTGTATAATTGTCTGGCTCCTGTAATTTTTCATAAATTTTATACAGTTTCTGACTTATAAAGAAACAAGCAAACACACAGCCATTGAGTCAATTCTGACTCATAGTGACCCTACAGGACAGAGTAAACAGCTAATAGGGTTTCCAAGGCTGTAAATCTTTACAGAAACAGACTGCTGACCTTTCCTCAGTTAGCAGTCAAGCACTTTAACCACTAAACCACCAGGGATCCTTTCTAATGTTTGTTGTTGTTGTTAGGTGCCATTAAGTTGTTTCCGACTCATAGTGACCTTATGCACAACAGAAAACAATATTGCTTGGACCTGTTCCATCCTCAAAATCATTGTTGTGCTTGAGCCCATTGTTGCAGCCATGGTGTCAATTCATCTTCTAATTTTTATTAACGGCAAATTTTGAAAACTGATTTTTTAAGTTTAGTGTATTTTTTACAACTATAAACAAATTTCTTTTGTATAACTCTAAATTCTAAGCATGTCCACTCTTTCTTTCAAATTTCCTATAAATGTCCATGCCAATAATCTCCTTTTTTCTGTTTGATAGAATTAACTACAAAGCAATTATCTTTGTATTCCTTTTATGTTCTAATAGGTGAAACCATTAATGCAAGTCAAGAATTAACCAGCTGTTCTGATATTAATACAGTGACCAGTTAGTCGATGCCCACCATTTCTTTATTTCTTAGCATTTTGAAGTAAATTTCAATTCTCTCCATCTTAGAAATGAGTAATCATAAACTAAAAGAACATGACTTGTATATCTACAGAAATTATATACAGATACAAATATATAATTTTAATAAGTGGTACATTACAATGCATGTCAAAAAAACAAAAACAAACTCCCTTCCATCTAGTCAATTCTGACTCATAGTGACCACCCATTGGGTTTCTGGGCTGTAGATCTTTACAGAAGTAGATTGCCCAATCTTCCTTCCATGGATCAGTTAGTGGGCTTGAACTGCTAACCTTCTGGTTAGCACCCAAATGCCTTATCCCCATGCCATCAAAGCTCCTTACCATGCATATCAGACCCTCAAAATTAATACTCCTAACTATCAGATTAGATCTGTTTTATTTTTTCACTGAAATTCATAGTAAGAAATATACTTTATATCATGACCCAATGCAAATGCACATACATGCCTATTCATATACATGTATGTGTGTGTGTGTGTGTGTGTAAATAAGAGCCCGGGAGGTTTGTCATTTGCTGCTTACCTAAAGATTGGAAGATCAAACCTACTCAGCGATTCAGCAGAAGAAAAGATTTGGCAATCTGCTTTCATAAAGATTACAGCCAGGAAAACCTATGGAATGCTTCTACTTTTTAACACATAGGGTCACAATGAATCAGGGTTAGCCTCAATGGCAGCTAGCAGCAGCAACAACTATAATATATATGTTGTATATGTGTATATATAACTGAGAAAAGTTCCACAAATTTACCCTTGCATTGACTTCTAATATTTTTCTCCTTTATAAATTTCTCTTCTTTCGGGGGGTATCCTATTTGATACAATTGTATGTCATTTATAAAAATACTCATCATGACCCAGTTAATTGATTTCATGACTCACTGGTGGTGACCCATCCTTTGGAAAATATGACCTAAATGATATCATCTCCAAGCCAATTCTGTGCCCTGCATTAGGATCATTCACCTGACTAGGGAGTCTTTGGTAACCTTCCACAGTGATATCACCGTTTCACTTCCTTACTGAAATCTCCTTTTCTATTGTATCTTTATCCATATATAGAGAGAGCTATATACGGAATATAATTTATACACATGTCCTTTTAGACAACTTTATTCTTAGGAGAAATGTATATGCTTCTATATACTTACTTCAGATAATAATTTGTACATCACAATGTGTGATACTATTTAAATTACTGCGTTTAGCTACTTGTGTTAGAATGCTGGTTTCAGTGTGTTTGTTTTTCATTTATTCAGCCAACATGTTCTGAGCATCTAACATTTCTAGGCACTCTACATGAGGGCAATGCCTTGGCTCTCAGTGAACTCACCTGCTATAATGTGCACATTGTTTTAGAGACAACTGGGAATATAAGCCTCCTTCCATAACCATTTCAATATTGAATACAATGAAAAATCCTATGCTAACATATCTGCTTGCTTTTCTCTATTTCACAAATGCTGGCTGTATGTTAAAGAGTTCATTTCAAAACTCAGAAATGACTTTAAACATATCTTGAGTATTTGTGGCAAATAATAAGAATGAAAAAGAGAAAAATATATGCTTCTTACCATGACAACTTGGTAGGGCTCTATTCCATCCAGGTCTTCCATCATCTCCCATAATACAGGTGAGTGTTGAATAACCCTGAAGGACGTAGCCTGCATCACAATAATAGGTCACTGTTGACCCTAATTTATAATCCATTCCAAGTCTGGTACCATTCATTATATTGCCAGGATCAAAGCAGGACTCTCGGAGTTTTGCTGTAAAAGGGTAATCATATGAAATAAATTCCTTTGAATTACTATTTTTTATGAAATGTCTAAGACATATTCATTTCTTCCTTCAAAAGGAGAGGAAAGTGCCCTTTCTGTTTCTGTATTGGGGCACAAAGTATAAACTAGCTCTTAACCATATCTGAAATCTTGATAGTTCATGTTGATATCTAGGAGAAAAAAAAATCATAGTATGTAATCTTATTAAAATTAGTATGTAATACAGTCAAACATATGATTTTTAAATTTATTACTTTAAATTAATATGTGCTATAATCCATGGATAAGTATTTTTCAATGAAATATTTGAAAAAAAAGCAGGATCCTTTCTAACATTTATTTATTTTGAGTAAGAGCAACCTAAATTATCTTAGGATTCACAACATAAAATGGTGGCTCTGATAGAGTCTGAGGCCAGAACTCCATTTTGAATCAGAAGCAACTTGTGCACTGAGAACACAGGCTATCATTTCTGTAACTCCCCACAGTACCCAGAGTAAATTATCTGGTAAGTAACTTCAGAGGAGAATGTGATTTTGCTTGCTTAAGCAATTGCTTACTTAAGAATACACAGTGCTCAGAAAACTGGGTCCAAAATAATTATCAGAACAGATGCTTATTCAAGGTAAACTTTAAAATTACGTATGTCCTCCACGCCTCATGCAAAGAGGATCTCATGACTGATTAGAAGGTAAATGAATCCAATTTAGTGACTACTTTGTGACTATGAGAAAACAATTTTAGAAATGTATGTAATTTCCCACCCATCAGATGTACCCTCACACAATTTTATAACCATTACCTAACTGTCAACCAATCACTGAATTTTTATTGAAGTTTCTTATATATAATTTTTTTTTTTTTTTATTAGGATTTGGGTGACGATTTACAGAGTAAATTCACTTTTCATGCAGCAGTTCACATATACTTTGTCTCATGTCATTGACCAAAATTTACAATGCAGTAGCTCCCCTCCCACTTCCTCCCCA